ATGAATACCTGTATGTATAAAAGGAATGCCAGCTGGTATTGAAAATGCATACAGGTCATGTGCAAGAGAATTTACATGTGCACATACAAATGTATGCATATACACATACATATGTTTGTATGGATATACTTGAGTTTGTATGTGCGTGCATGTATGCATCTGTACTTTTAGTGTATAATATGAATAGCGACCAGCATACATGAAAACAAGCTTATGCACTTGTATTTAAAAACATTACACCTAACCATAAGGATTGAAATGGTGTACAACACCAATAAATTCAACCATTGGAATGGGTATGTAACTAACAAACAGACCTGTCCACAAGGTATAAAAATTGCAGGGAGGGAGCATGGGATCTACACATTTGTGTATCCAACATTCCATGATAAATAAATGCCTTGGAAACAACCAAGGCATAACAGCACACACTCTTAAATTCAATGGTGCTCTGGGAACATGCTAATATTCAAGAGAATGGTTATCCTAGGTAATTCAATGACAACACTGCACAGGAAAATAAGGCTATGTTTCTGGTAGTCTCTCGACATATAGCTGCAACTTTTTTCCAGACTTTAGTTAATGTTAAATGTTAAATGTTAATGTTAAAATTCATTATTTTTCCCATCTATTAAAAATCATTAAGAAGGTTAAATTAACCTCATGTTACCAGGGATTGTATGAACATGTCCTCCCTGTGAGTTTAATTTATTAATTTTCTTTACACACCAAGTTCTACAAGCACTTAGCCACCGGTGAGCTATCTCATCTGTTTACCCTTTTATTTAATATTTGGATTTTTTTTTCTCATATTGCTATTTGTAACAATGTTAACATTATCATACTTATAGAGCCTATAATATCAACCCATCACCACCAGGCGAACAGAAATCCCTGAGCGTGATAAACTCTGGTGATTTCTGGCAAGGGCCAGACACTGTGCATGGGAGTCTGCAGCATCAAGCCAAATGTCCCGCTCTATGCGCTCTGGCGCATCACCACACATACAGGAGTACCCCACAGACCAAGTGGTTTGTTATTACGTTGGTAAACATAACCCACCTGGGTCAGGTCAATGAAAAACAAAAAAACTCAAGGAAAGATGAAACCAGGTTGTTTACAAAGCTGACAAATTGACTATTTGGTGGTTAAGCACTTGTGGAGCCATCTATGTGTAGAGATATTTCACAAAACAATACTACATTGAACAGTGCATTTTCCCAGCAGCAAGGTTTTAAATAATGGTCAATGTCATATGAACATATCTGTAATTCAGAGACTGAGCAACTTTTATTCATGTATATTTTCTATAAAATGTATTACCTTCCAACCATCCACAGTCAGTAAATGTAAAACTGAATATACTTCTCTATTGGTGTTAACCTATGTATATTATGGGATATGTTGTATTTGTGATTTTCCTTTTCAAATTAGAAATGCATTTTCATAATCTATATGGATAAGTGAGGTTTTCTTAGTATTTCAGAACCCTATATTTACATTTATCTAAGATTGAAACATCTGAAAGTGGAAGGCCATCTTTAGTTTAATCCAATGCCGCCAGGGAAAAGGTGCTCATTTTCTATATTTTTTGTGGAATGTCTATGCACATAGATGGCTCTGCTAGTGCTTAGCCACAAAGGAGTCAATTAGCAGACCTTGTGACCTTACATGATTTGAAATGGCAGGAAAAATGTATTTTTTTCTAGTGCTATGAATATCGATGGTGTTATTTCTATTATAAACATTATAATTACTATAATGTTATAAACATTAGTAACAAAATAAGACAACATAAAATGGTTTCGTACATCAAAGAAAAGGGTAAACAAGCGAGACAGGCAGTACTCGTAACTGGCTCATTGATGACTTAGTACAAGTGTAGCCATGTATGTGTAAAACAATCAAACAAGTAACTCGCAGTGGGCATGGCAAGTACATACACATCATGCCCGTCGGCATTGGGTTAAAATGCTTTACCAACTTACATCAACTATACATAGGAAAAGGAGAGCCACATTATAATCTATCAATATTATGATTAAATAAATAATATCTATCAAACAGACAATATAATAATAAATATAAAAAACTAATATATAGAAATATTCAATAAATACTGAAACAATAATAACTGAGTGCATAAATCATTACAAAATACCAAAGGAGGACTCAGACTCTTACTCAATATCAAGATTAAAATGCACCTTCATCTGCTCACAGATTGAGTGAGAAACAAACAAAACTTATTATGAGCCTAACAAATTGTCAGTAACCTCTAGGCATACTTACTTTTGAGTGTTTTCGATGGCTGCGAGTATCCTTGAGTTGTCAATGTTAATCTTCTGCTTCGGTGTCTTTCTTTGGTCATCATGCCCTGCAATAATGGGGCAAATAAAATAAATTGTGGAAACGTGATCCTCTATGTATGCAAATACAGTCATTACTACATATAAACTTTGATAACTATATAGAATATATAAATATAAACAATTAAATAGATGTGTGTGCCTATTCACAGATCCATACACAAAGAAAACATGCAGCAAACATTTGTTTTATGCTGGTATCATGTTCCAAAACCTATACAGCTGTGTGAAATCTGTATACATACTACTATAATAAATATGTAATCTGTGTGTGTGTAACATCGACTCATTGGATCAAGGTGCTTTATGGAAATTACATGGCCCAAAATATGGACATTAAGCTTACTTGAGCAGCTATTCTGAATAGTGCACAGCTTATAGGCTGGGCACACAAGAACACTCTTGTGCAGTGACAAGACTCTATGACTCCCATTTGCAATGTTATTTTTGTTTTTTATGCATGTGCACTTCTAGTTTTTTTGCCATTTTTTGCCATATTTGCCAATTTTGAAAGTCTATATTTGGCATTTGATTTGCTTTATCCAGATGGTGATAGACTGTTTTCCTTGCACAGACTCCATATCATCTCTCAATGTAACCCATAACTCAGTGCAAGAATAATAAAAAAAATAGCTATGATATACTACATCTTTGTTTATCTTTTTATTTGTTTGTTTATTTGTTGATAGATATTCAATTGCGGAAAACAAATCTGCATGAAAAGAGAGTTTACAGTATTTACTAATGAATGCATTTTCATAATTACTTATCATGCACACCTACAAACACCTGTACTAAAAGACAAGCCACACATAGTCAAAGATACACAGCCAGAAATACAAGGCACCCTCATTAGACACCCAATAGCCCTTACCTTTCCGCTTTGTGTACTTGATAGCCGCACCATGGAATGCACTGACGGCGCGGAAGAATGCCCTAAGGATCGACCACCTGAACACGGCAACTGGATCAGCCCCTGCCACTTCTCGCACGATGCTATACTGACTGTTTTTGAGCACGCTAATCAGTTCTGGCCTCATCAGGTCCAAGTTCTTCTCCCTAAAATCACTCACCTGTGGTAGAGGGTAGAAGGAAAGCATGGGAATTTGATTTGCTTTAATACATTTAATATATTAAACTTCAAAGTCTTTTAAAAATTTCTGCTGAAGATATTTATATAGTCTCAACTAAAACAAGAGCTTTTGGGACAACTATGATATCGATAGCAATTCTTTTGAGCGTAAGATTTGGATATTATCACAGCACTGAATTACATCTCAATCTAACAAAAAATCTACTAAGTTCTAATTCTAAAACACTTTAAAAATCACATACCTGATATTTCACTTTACCAGCATAATGCTTAATAATAAATGCTAACTCCCTCTTCTGAGGAATTTCATAATACTTGTTGTCTTTGTGGACCGTATTGATCTTTTGTAGGAATGTTTCATTGGTTGCAGCAGGGAAGCTGTTGGAAAGAAAAAGCATCATTTATGACATCTGAGCCTTCCATGAGTCCATGCTACAGAACATATAATTTACATATACCAACATTTCCTCCTTTAACCCCTTGATGACAGGTGAAGCAGATTTTTTAAAAACTCTACGCTCTGGAGATCAATGGCAACGCGCCAACTTTGAGTGCGGGAGTTCGGTACATCAAGCCGAATCACCGGGAATGGGGAAAATGCTGTGCTCATTTTTTATATCTTTTGTGAATTGTCTCTACACATAGATGGCTCTGCCTTACCTGATTTCACCTTTCTTCGAATTGGCAGGAAAATGTATTTTTACTAGAGCTATGAATATCAATGCTATTACTTTTATTATAAACAATATGAGTACGATAATGTAATAAACATTAGTAATAGCAAAATAATATAATGTAAAATATTTTTTGTAAATTAAAGAAAATGGTAAACGGGCGAGATAGGCAGTAATCGTAATTGGTTCATTGGTGACTTTGTACAAGTGTAGCCATTTATGTGTACAAACAATTAAACAAGTAAACTCACAGTGGGCATGGCATATATGTACATGCCATGCCCGTTGGGAATGGGTTAATAATAGCACAAAGTTGAAGATCAAAAGGTAGAAAGTGGTATTCTACATTATCAGCCAGATGGGAGGCTGTGCTTGATGGGAGGCTGTAGAGCCACTACAGACTTAGTGTCTATAACTACAGTCAGTCAGCAACATCAAATTTATGTTCCACTGTTTAGACCATTAAAAAAGGCAAGAGTGTATACCTTAATTTTTTCCCTTAGGCTGTCCCTTGTATGTTCAGATTATAAGTAGAAAGAATTCAAGTACTATAATACAATCATCATTCATTAAGATATCGCATAGAAATACCACAAATAAGACAGATAACTCTGAGAACAATTACCACACTGGCATTTTTCACAGTAAATACTGTATTCAAATAAATTTTGCCTAATGTTATAGGAACATATATCAGGGTACTTCTAATGGCTGGCACCGGTACCTTTATCCATTCCACATCTAGTAAGAGCATTGATGTTATCATCTCCCCCAGGGTATGAACTCTAAAGATTTGACTGGTATTACCAAAGATGGCTTCAATAAATAACAAAATTCCATGTACCTGCACTGGTCATCCAAAAT